TTAAAGGTTATTTTTTTCTGAATTCAACCATATGTGATGAAATTAAATTACGAAATATCATTTTCGAGAATTAATTATAAATGCCTCCGCGTATATACTATCTGTGCTCATATTATTTTTATATTTTTTTTATTATTTTCTGAATTTAACCATATGTGATGAAATTAAATTACGAAATATCATTTTCGAGAATTAATTATAAATGCCTCCGTATATACTACCTGTGCTCATGTGCATAGCTTTCATCAAAACAATAATAAGATATGTATTAATCAATGAATAACAAAATCGATATAATTGATCATATTCTGAACATTACAAATTATAATAAGAATAATAATGATAAAAGGTTATAATAAATATAGTTATATTTTTGATGTGATGAATGAGTTCTTGCGTCATAAACATCTTATTATATATAATAAGATGTTTTATAATTAATTCTCAAAAATGATATTTTGTAATTTAATTTTATTATATATGGTTGAATTCAGTTGAACAGAAAAAAATAACCTTTAATTTGGTAGAGAAAAAAATTTTCTTAATTAAAAAGAACTTGGAGTGATAGGAATATTTTGTTAAATAAAAAATTAAAAAATTTCTTTTTCTTTACAACTTGAAAGTACTCTTCAAACCGTACAACTTTTGTTTAAAACATATTTTTCTATCTTTTATATTTTCAACGATATATTCGCCACAAAAGAAAAAAACAATTTTTTTTCAAAAGGGTGTTTCACCCCTTAAACCTGAGATTCCGCACATATAAAAAAATACGTGTCTCTTAGATTTTTGTGTTTAAAAACATATTTTAAGGAGAATTAAATCGGTGCCGGACAGTTGTGACATGTCCCTTGTAAGTACTGAAAAAAATAGAAAACGCAGAGACAACAAACAACTGACATGTAAGGAGGTTTTTTTGTCAGACTGTTACAATGTGTATATACATATATGTGTGTATATATTGTATTATAGCCTCGACATTTTTGTATTAGGATTTTCGTCTCAAAATTATCTCAGGAACATATTCTTAAAAGGAAATCCGGTAGAGGTGGGATACCCTGTATATATATATATAATTGGCTACATATAATTATGCAATGTCTCGTCCGGATGGATACATGTAGTAGCGTTCCGCTGCGCTATCCTCAACAGGCTCATTCAAAGCCCATGAAAATCAAAAGAGGGAAAACACTTTTCTACACTCCGTAGCGCGTATGTGCACTGGACTTCATTAGTTTAAAACGAACAAATCTGAAAATGGGTTGTGGTTGGGAGGGAATCTCCATCCGGACGAGACAGCATAATTGTAATCAAACTTCACGGTAAGTTTGTTTAATTATTCAATTATGCAACGTCCGGATGGATACATGTAGATGTTTAAAGCTCAGATTTGTAAGATTAAAGCAAAACAGGATGAAAATCTAATTATTTTTCTACTGTATAGGATATCTGGAATATTAACTATTCTTCTACTGTGAAGTGTACCTATAGTCTGTTTCAGAACGAATAAACTTAAACTTTCGAACCTACATGGACTTTTCTAAATTCTGTTTAAAAATTCATTCAGAATTAGCAGAAATACATTAGTTACCCATATTCAAAATCGCGTCTTGGAGAGACAAGACCTTATAAAATTGTCGGTAGATTGCAAAACGCGCAAAGGTATGCGAGAACCTGCTCCAGCTAGTCGCGCGTCTAAACCCCTCAAAGCTAATATCCTTACATACTGTCAGAGATGTCGAAGCGTGGTGGGTATGTGTTGTGTAGATACATATATCAACCCTCGCCGCACCTAATTCTGCTTTAATCCAACGATCTAGAGTCTGCATCGAAGCAGCGTTGTGTGGAGCACGAAAGGAAATGAAAAGAGTTGCAGTCCCTCCGACGCAGGTTGTCGGTGACTTTAAGATCTAACTAAAGAGATGATATAGAGTTCTGAGCTTTCAGGGAAAGTACTAAAAGCGAGGACTGCGATCTCCCGACTTCGGAAGTCTTAAGCGTGATAATTAGAATCCAATTTAAAGAGAATCTGATATTTTCATATTTAACCGTTGTATGGATTGCTAAGATTTGCATTCTCTGGGCGAATAGTGAAGGCGAGGAGTGTTACCAGCTTCCTCGATATCAATGTGAATAATAAATCCTTATATGAATACTAAGATAGTCCAATTGATTGGAGATATGAGAATTTCAGACATAACAATGCCGGTGGACAATGTAATTAATTTTTTTTTAAACTGCAACCTTTAAGAAATCCTCTCGTTAAAAGATCCACCTTGTTCAGCGAAACGCGGAATGCGGCTGGGCGATATGAATTTAACATAGCATACGCCCCTATTTCTGAAAAAGAGGAAAATAAAAATTCCAAAATTAATGGAATTCACGGGGTGAAGTAGCTAGTTTGTTTCTGCTTGAAGAAAATTTTGTGTATTGTGCTATTATGTCGACCGAAATTGATGCAAGTGGCCACATTCCGCTTTTAATACCAAGGGTAATGATTTCTCTTGAATAAAAAAATTTGCCGGATAATTTTGCGGCAACCAAGAAAAACTTTCTCTGAAAAGAGACAACAAAATCAATCAACAAATTTAATAATTGATGGAAAATTAATCGCTTGCTCAATAACGAATTGATTTAATAAGATGAAACCCAGCTGGCCATCGAGGCGCCATGACGCCTCCTCTATCATATCGTCGCATCTTTCTATTTTTATTTCCGTCATTATTTTAATATTTTATAGTCAACATTCTATAACGCGATAACGCGACATATAAAACTGTATTTTTCCAATTTAATAATGATCTTCCGAAAAAACTTCTAAAAATAAATAAAAAGGGAGGAAAAACATAGAGATAAAATCCATTCCAATCTAATAAAAAGATCTATCTGTATTCAGGAGTCTGGATGCTACAATACTGAGCGATGGCATTTACTATTGATGTAAAGAGTCCATAACAAAGAGACCGAAGTCAGTTTCAATACTATAGAAGTATTTCTGATTTAAGTTCCGCACTGCATTCTCCAATCCTATGCATGATTTAGTATCTGTATCTATTGAGTTGAATGAAAATAAGAAATATGAAAAAATATATCTCCTTTTATGCTTAGTATCAGATTTCACAGGCAAGCTCGGGTAAAATAGAGATTAACGAAAATATAACTCTGCGATTATTGAACAACAGGGTAATAAAATAACTCCTCCTTAAGAGAATGTAGAATCATCTTAAGCGGGATGCAAAACATCACAGTGCGTGAAAACCAGCTAAAAGATCTACATAATAGGATGCTGCTTATCCTCCGGTGACTAGAAGCTATGCCTGTGGACTTCGATGGCAGCAGGTCCTCATCCCGTTAAGGAGGCTTCTGAAAAAATTTCTAATATGAAAGGGCTTGTTCTATCTTGAGATTTGACATCTGATGATGCTAGGTCGAAGGATAAACTTCCTTTTTTTTTTGCTTGATGTTTAATATACTGAATAGCTGGACAGACGGCTATCACCGATGCTATACAGATCGATAAGAAATGGATCCTTGTGGCGGGTCTCATTAAACATAACCAGAATCATTTAAAGAAGATTGCGTTCTCTGTTAATGGAGTCGAGAACGCAAAGTAGATTGTATCGAAAACGAAGCGGCAGGGCCTTGCCAAGGTGAGTATACTTTCCTGTTAATAAAAGAGTCTTGCAAAGTTGAAAAATCCATCGTTGTGACGCCTATGCGGATTCGATGAGAAGAGTCGTCCAAATAGGCTACTGAAAAGAGATCCCTCTCTCTAAGGGAGTATAAAAGCAGCTCCAAGAATTTCGTAAAAATATAAGGATGTGATGCCAGGCCAAAGGATAACATCTTACATTGAAAAAGTGTCGATCCTGAAAAATAAAATCGTAAAAATTTAGATATCGTCTGGATGAATATGCACCAGGAAATATCTAAACCGATGGATGTGAGAAAATCATTTGGAGAAAAGAGGCAGATAACCCCCTTTTTAATCCTTCAGTTTGATTTACGAGGCCATGATACACTGGTCAAGATATATTAAGTTGAGAATAATCTCCAAACCTCCAATGATTTTCTAATAACAAGACCCGGATTAGATTTTACAATCCGTTACGATTTTAATTGATCCCTTCCCAAGGGATCTGACAGTCTCCAGACCTGTTCCTCGAATTTCGACAACTGACTTGGGAGCTCACAGTCCTGAGAAGGAGGATGAGTAAATGGCAGGATATAGCCTGCCACGGTCCCTTCTTCGACTAGCGTCTCCTTGAACGGATTCTAGGGCGGTATGATAATCGGCGACTGCTGCTCTCTGCTCCTGCCTGCTTGATTGATTGTTGAACTCTTAGATATTGCTAGCGGTGGTTAATGATGTCTGTAGACAACTTAACCAGAGGCCGCTTTTTAACTCTGCTCACCAAAGGAAGAGCCAAAAAGAAAGTTAATGGAATGGAATCAGCTGTGATTTAGGTGACCAAATTTAGGGCAAATCACAACCCTCTAGTAAAGGAGAGATGTTGAGAAAGATCCGCCAGGAACTTTACTCCACAGATGGCTTTTGCCCTAAGGTACATATAGCTCATCAGATTTTGGTACTTACAACTGCGTCTTAATCAACTTACTATACGTCTTTCTTAAAATTGAAAATGATTTTTAGTGCCACTCGACACTCCTGACATAGAGTGGGGGCCATAAGAAATGCTATAGATTTCAGAAGGAGAAAGTTTCCCGCTGAACTGCTGGGAGTTTGATGCGTCAGATCCTGTTCTTAATTATTCCAAGGTGATAATTCTTCTCCTACAAGATCAGATCTAAACAATTATTAGGTAAGAAGCTCAGCGATGTTCTCTCTTGAGAACGGGATCGCAGGCGAGATGTTATTTTCTAGTGTGAGTCGCTTAGGCGGTCTAGAATATGTGCCCTCGTCGCCCTCGTCTAGATGGTTACTTACCATACCAAGAGAATGGAAGGTTCCGAGTATTCGGAAAAAAACAAGGTTGCGTTGTTATGCCGCCTGTATTTCGCAAATACAAATCCAGCAATATCATACACACCTGTAGATTGTGTCATCATGCCGCCTCCATTTTGCAAATGCAGATCCAACAATATCATACACACCTGAATTTATCGGGCCCGTCAATTCCACATGGTCCGCAAGGGAAGCCAAAGAAATATCAGAGAGTACAGATCTGCAGACAATAGACTTTGACTCGGTACGTGACCCTTGGTCGTCATGGTGATATGCAGGAGAAGATGTCAACAACGGTTGAGAAGGATAATTACAGGATATTCCAACCTCTTTATAGGCTAAAATATCTATAAATGGGACATCTTAATCTCCAAGTCTGCAAGGCGATCGGAGGAGTGAGACCTCTTCCTCCTTTTAGATCCATGAGCGGATTTATGAGCAGATTTGCCCATACTGGAATACTGAATAAATATCTCAAACAATGAACTGCAAAGGGAGCGATGTTGTGTGAGTGAGAGAGAGAGAGAGAGAGAGAGAGAGAGAGAGAGAAAGAAAAATGTGACATAACGTATCGATGGATAGTATACAACGGTAATCTTATCGGTAATCATATCGTAATAGAGATTTAACATTATACGAGATCATTATATAAAGCGTAACGAAAAAAAAATTACAAGTCATAAGTCTAGGTCAATATAGTTTCTTACGCCGAATACGTTTATGCCGCATGCGCCGCTGAAACAGCCTACAGTTGAAGTCAAACCAGTTATCGTATGAAGTTGAGTTATTTATTGCTTGTTTCAACATTAGCATTATAGTACGATAATCATTATACTTGACTTGCAATAATGTTCATTTAATATTAAAAATTCGTGTTTACAAAGTTGAAATTGTATAATACGAACTAATGCATATCTAGCGACTTCATCACACGGTACGTCGCAAATTTTTTAAAAACTTATAAAATGATTTAAAACTAACACTCTTAATTTGATTAATATTTATTTGTAATTTAGATAATTGAAAAAAATGTATTTTTTTAGTAATACTATATTTATTGTAAATTATAATTTGTTTCAAATAATTTAGTGTATTTATACACATGTTAATATATATTATACAATTTATTAATATTAAAATATTGGTTATTCACAAAAATTTAATATTACTATATTATAACAATATATAATTTATGTTATTTATAATATGATGAAATAGTTATATAATATTTCTCTCTCTTCTCTTTCTTTTCACTAAACATGTTCAGTGAACATCAATCACTTTTGTTCAAACAATTCAAAATTTCTTTAAATAGCGTACTCTAACTTATTTAGAATAAAGATTTAAGATATTATTTCATGATAATTCACTTAAAATTAATGTATTTAATCACTAAACACATGTTTTAAATACATGCCACTAATAAACTGTCTGTTGCGACACAATTCAAGTATAAAGTCTAGTCTATAATTTTAATTCTGCGTAGTTTTTGCTGGCACTTACTTAACAGCGGTTATATAAATATAAGACATGTGGTAGTAAATAATATTAATATACTATTAATGATCCATCGGGAATCAATAAAATAATAATTCAATTGATTACAATTTTTGAATTAATTGCAAATAAGTTTATTATTATTAACTCATTCCCATAATTTTGAATTAATTGAAACATTTAAAATAATGGACAGAAAAAGCAATTAGACAAAAAAAAGAAAAATACATGAATTTTTTATCGCTCAAATTTGAATTTGATCAATTGATCAATTAATAATTAATTTATATAAAAATTTAATGACTGTATTATAAATGGCAATAAAACTAGTAATTTTTCTATTTCAGTAATTTAGATAACAATTTAAAAAAAAAATGTCGATAGCTTCGAAGGTCGAAAATATTAGCAAATAATGGAGCAAGATAAGTGAGATTTTTACTCCATCACGATTGTTAAATCATACCGATTAATTCTCAATTATCGTTATTTGTCTCATATAACAATGAAATCGCATTTGTTATTTGACAGTGCCAACATCCGTTGATGTGCCAACGCTTTGGTTAATTGC